CGGCAACGCCGCGCGCGTGGCCTTGCCCCCCTCCCGGCAGCGCCCCTAGTGGCGCCCCTGTGCCCCTCACTTGTGCTGCTCGTCGATGACCACGAGCCCCAGCCGGCTCCACTGCTGTTGCAGCAGCGCCTGCGTCCCCACCACCAGGTCGACGCCGCCCGCAGCGATGCGCGCAGAGAGCGCCTTGCGCTCCTGGCGGTTCAGGGGTCGGGGCGGCGGCGAGGATGGGGGCGTCATCGGCGACGGCGGCGGGGGTGATGGTGAGAGGGGTGGTGGTGGCGGGAGCGACGGCGGCGGAGGTGGTGGTGGTAATGGTAATAATGGTGAGAGGGGTGCCGAGAGGGTTGAGAGTGCTGGTGGCTACGTTAGTGGTGGTGGTGTGTGACACGAGGGGTGGCCGCGGGGTCCAGGTGCGGTGGCCGGCTGTCTGTGGTGGGGTATGGTGGTGGTGATTGGGGTGGGCGGCTGGTGGCAGAGCTGGGGTGAAAAGGGGATGGTTAGAATTCCCTACAGGAAGAGGACTGGGGAGGAAAGAGGCGCGGGGCAGGTGGTGCTGAGTCGCATGGGGCAAATTGTGTTAAGGGCACAAAAGGGCGCCGTACGCGCCCCACTAGCCATGAAGCAAGCGGGCCGGCGCTCGGGTGCGGCCGGGGCAGCTTTGGGCGGGGTGCCTGCCCGCTGGATGACCTGGGCTGCCCACCTTCAGCTTGAGGGAGTTGGTGAGGAGCGAGACGCGGGGCCGCTGCGCCACAGGCATGTTCTCGGCCATGAACACCTTGGGGTGGAGACAAATACGATTCATAGGGTGTTGTTGGAATGATGATGTTTGTGGGTGGTGCTTTTGACAATCTTTGGGTGGTGCCATGGGGATGTTGTTATGGGCACTCCGTCACCGGCATAATAACAAGCGCCTGCGCAGTCAAACAAGCCTTCTGATGGGTGTGCATGCACACACACATATTGTGTGTATGCGTATGCGTGCGAGCGCGCGCGCCCACCAGCGTTGCGTAGTGCTGCTCAGCCAGCAGCTCAGTGGGGGCCATGAGGAGGGCCTGGTAGCCTGGCGGGGTTTGGAGGGGGGGGGGGATCAACATGTGAAGAACACGGGTTAAGGTGCGTTGCATCAGGGCAGGCAAGCTGCGCGGCAGTGCAAGGAGAGCTGACGGCGGACCGTGCGTCATCACATTTCAGAAGGGCGCGATGCTGCTGCGAAGGGCGCGATGCTGCTGCGAAGGGCGCGATGACAGCGAGGGACGGAACACTGCAGCGCTCACAGGCGGAGACGCCGCGCCCCAGAATACGGCACCGTCCGAGACAGCACACGCCCAGGGAGAGCGCACGCGATAGGCCAGCCCCGCGCAGTCCAAAAGCTGGCCGGGCACTGGGCGGGGTCGTGGCCCCGTCCCTGCATGTGCGCCCCTGCGCCCCTCACCAGAGCCCGAGGCGGCCATCATGGCCAGCACAGCCACCACGGTCTTGCCGCAGCCCACGTCACCCTGCGTTGGGCGGGGTGTGTGGGGGGGGGGCAAGCGGGAGGGGCAGGGCAGGAGGGCAGGGGAGAGGGTTCAAGCCCAAACCGTGTCGAATCGTTGGCGAGCAGTGACATCAGAGCGGCATCTATACCTTAACGGGTCAGGGATCTTCAGCATCTCCACATGTGGCAAGCAACACGTCCCCGGTCCCACATCGTGTGTGCCCGTTCCTGGATTCCCTCGAAGCCGCAATGGTGTCATCGCGCACCTGCAGCAGGCGCATCATGACGCCAGGCCCCGCCAGGTCTGACAGGATCTCCTGCAGCACCCGTGACTAATGCGATGTGCGTCACGGGTGACAGCGCAGGCGGTTGCAGGAGCGGCGTGGCGGTTGAGCAGGTGGCGACGGTAGGGAGGGATATTGGAGGAGGGAAGCTCAAACCAAAAGACGTTGCCAGGCAACGACTCCAGACTGGTCGGAAATGACCTGGCGTTTGCCCCAAGCAACTGAACCCTGCAGCCGCAATCCGATGAGTCACCTGAGAGGCGGTGAGGGTGTAGGGCAGCGCCTTGCTCGCCGCCGACATGGCCTGCAACCGCGTTATCGCCAAACGCCATCCCTCGCCAGAACCCCCCTCCTGCACCTCCTCCGGCTGCTGCGCCGGCCGCCGCGTCGGGGCCGGCCCCTGCGGCGCGGCGGTGAGGCGGCTGCGCTCCAACATGGCCGCCAGCTGGCCCAAAAACATCTCCTGCGGGGCGTGAGTGAGCCAAGGAGGAAGCCACGTGCTGCGAGTTGGCCGGGAGGGGGGCCTGCGTAGCATCACTGTTCACGCAGGCAGCTGTGAAACGAGGGCCCTTGACCATCGACGCCGCAGCGGAGCTGCCAGCGCTTGCATCCAATATGAGCACTGGTGGCGCCCCCCCATCAAGGACCCTGGAACCAGGCCCCAAAACGCATCACCAACCTGGAACGCCAGCCGCTCCCGCGCCCGCTGGTGCTCCTCAGCGCTGGCCGGCACGTGCAGCGCCCTCAGCGCGTCCATCCACCCCATCAAACCCAAACGCCGCAGCACCTCGGCCGGCAGCGGGTCCGCTGCACCAGCGGTGCCCTGGAGCGCGCCCACCACGCCCAGCGCGCGTGCCGCGGGGCCGTCGGGGCTGGCCATGTCTGCCGGCTCAAGCTTTTTGCATTTCGGATAGATCAATTCAATGAACGGCCGCTGCTGCTGGTGCTGGTGCTGGTGCTGCTGCTGCTGCTGCCACTCCTGCCGCTCCTGCTGCTCTAGCCGCTGCTGCTCCACCTGCCACTGCTGCTGCTCCACCTGCTGCTGCTGCTGCTGCTGCTGCTGCTGCTCCCACTGCTGCTGCTCGTGCGCGCCCGGGATGTTGACGTAGCCCGCAGAAGGCGCGGCCGTGTTGCCCACCACTGACAGCGAGGGCTCCGGGCTGGACAGCGCCGCAGCCAGGCCGCCTGCGGGGCGGTCAGGACGAGAGTCTGCCCGTCAGGACGCGGCGCCAGGGAGGGGCGGCGCTGCCGCGTCGCGGCGTCGAGGCACCGCCCCAAACACGGCTGCCGGAACATGGATCACCAAGATGGTGGTCAGGGCGTCTCCGCTATGTACGTGGCATGGGCCGAGCGCCTCACCAAGCCAAGCGTGGATTGACACCTCCCACCGCCGGTATACGTCGTAGCGGCTGGTTGCTGCCCCCTTTCTCCCCGCTGATACCAACAAACATGTACACCCACACACTCCCAGGCGCACACGCACGCACGAACGCCCCCCCCCCCCCCCCC